AGGACACACAACTGAGGAAGTATCGAGATTAAAGGCTTCAACTGGCACAAAGCACCAAGCCCATGGTACGAAGCTAACATAAACAATTCAGTATTGCAAAAAGGGTGGACTTTGTCTTTCACACCAAGATGTGCCTGAACTCTATTTCAAAGTTTGCACTGAGACTGTGTAACAAGCTGGATGGCTGTGCTAATTAGACCTGCATATTTTGAATGTCAGGAGAGTTCTTTGGGTATTCGTTAACCACATCTTTTCCTCCCACTTTGAGTTGCTTTATATTCGACGTACGGATTCCTGCTACTTCTCTAATTCAAAGTGAAATGTTACTTTAAAATTCAATGAAGAACTATCTGTGATTTCTGTCTGACACTGAATCAGGGCTTGATTTGTTTTTAGTTGCGAGAAGACCTTCACTGTCTCCTCCCAAACCAGATGAAGTTTCTCCAGTATCTTCAGCTACCTAATCATTACCTCCTAGGCTTGGTAATATTATAATGTACATTTCTGTTTTCAATATTTAGCTCTTTATCATCAGTGGAATTCCATGCTGTAGTATTTTAAAGCACGTGATTCACAACTGAATCAGGTTACAGTGCATCTGGTTTCAGAATAGCACAATGGTTTTGTGGTGACCCGTGAAAGCCATAAATCAGACACTTTTTCTTACAAAACAGTATTTTACACACAACAAAAATATCCATAACCTCTGCTAACATAATAGCAAGGTTAACTGAATCGTAACAGTTAAAGAGACCATCCTGCCTATATTAATCTCCCTCCCTTTATTTTTTTAAAAACCTTACTATATTTTCCCCAATAACTGCTGAAATTCTCTTTAATAATCCTAAACTATGGGGATTTCATCCCTATTTGACTGACTATATGCTGTAACCTATTAATTTTCCATTACTAAGATTAATGTAGGTTTATAGAAGAACCTTTGTAGAAGACACAAATGCTGAGTGGATACAAATGCTCTCCCATTCCTCGAGGTAGATATTTCACCTTATCCTTAACAGTTCAATGATTAGATGGTTCTGCCCTAGGCTGAAACTCTGTGCCTAAAAGTAGAATTTGAAGGCTGTCAAACCAATACCCCTTTTTAAACCCAAAATTTCTTTCTAAAGGGTTAAACAATAGTTTAAAAGGTAGCTTTAGTAGTGAATAACTATTAATATAAATTTTTTCCACCATAAAACTATGCTCTTTGGAAAAAAACAATAAAACTCTTGTTTTAAGAAGTTACGTATATCCTAATCTAAAATGAGAAGTGCTTACATCCTGCCTGCTTGCAGATTCTCCGCTCTTAAACAAATAGAAAGGCACTTTTCTGTATTAACCAAATGATCAAAAGCTCTAGGATGGATTTAAATCTTTTAAAGTGTCATTGCACTGTTTTACTATAGCTTCATAGCACAAAGAATATGCCTACTCAAATAAGTCTACCAGCAAGGTAGATTTTCAACCCCCACAGCAAGAAGTATCAGCAGATTTTTTTTTTTCCAAGAGAGAAATCCAAAAAACCTCCCTAGAAGGCTATTCCCTTGCCTAAGCTCAACATTTACCCTTCTGCCAAAGTTATCTGCTAAAAAAATTGTCCAACCATCTCTAAATATGTTGAGAACTTCAGTAAAAACCATATGCAAATTTTCAAGAACAATTTTGTGGCATTTGGAAAAAACACCGTTGGGCTTGGGAAAAAATTAGGTTTCTTTACTTGTTCTCCTTGTTTGTCACTCAACTTCTGTACCTCATAAATGGGTGTGACAAACACCAGACCTGCCAAAGGCAACCAGCACCTCACTCTGGACACATAAATGGGCTTCAAAGTTACACAGTATTCCCCCTTTTTCTCTCCTTAATCTCTTCCAAAAGTCAAAGGATC